CTCCGACTCAGATGCATTTATGCATCCTTGGTTGGGAACTGGCCTACTTACTAGTGAAGGTAATAGATCTAACATAATTCTTATTTCTAATATATAAAATATTTCGAATTGAGAGTATATAAAAATTATATTCTTTATTTCTTTATATTTATATAAATTTTTTATTTAAGTACACATAATTATAAAAAATTAAAAATTAATCCTAATATAGGACTAATTACTATTATTTTTAAATTATAATATATTTTATAAAATATTGCACATCTGCCAAAAAAAAATGACACAAGTCAAACAAACAAAATTGTTCACGAGAAAGGAAAGAAGGTATTGCGTTAATAATAAAGTTTCCTATTAATAATATTATGAATTGACTTTTATCTCAAATTCTGTCGCAAATTATAAATCGTCTGAAACAAACTTGATTTTACGGAAAATAATTTCACATGTCTATGCTTGGTTTAGCAATAATTTAAAAATTAATTATTTACCGCAGTATTAAACATAGTCGACTTACACGAAAAGTATTTGAATTTAACTTCTATCACTTTTTCTGATTGAAGACCGATATAATTAGTAAACAATTTGCACATAAAACAAAATTCAAAAAATTTCGACTTGGGTCACTTTTCTTGCGGGTGTACGACATATGATATAGAAAAAAGTCACTTTTTAGTCCAATTAAAATAGTCCAATTTTTTACCTAAAATATAAATTTGAATTACTTAATTTATAAGACAGGTATTACGGCAAATATTAGTAATTTAGAGTGTTATTGCAATAAAAGAGGATTTTATCTTATTTCTATTACTATTACAGGAACGAAATGGCATGAAAGAAGAAAAATGCTAACGCCAGCATTTCATTTTGATATGTTGAAACAATTTGTTGACATTTTCATTGAGGAAGGCAATTACATGACGCAATGTTTAAAAGATATTAAAGGATCGACTGTTAATGATTTAATCTCCTTTACTAGTCGTCATACGTTGAATGTAATATGTGGTATGTCAGTATATATTTACAAAAAATTTCTGTTTGACATAGACAGTTAATTGAATAAACATTAATTATAATTATAATTTTGAAATTATACAATATATAATAATTAATCAATTATAAGAAATGTAAAATATATAATATATTACAATTTTGTATTAATTATACTTAATCTATGAGCATTGATAAACTTTCGTTACACTATAATATGTTGGATTGTAATTTTTAATTGACAGATTATCTTAAAATCTATAATAATTATTAATATATAAATATAAAATATAATTTATTATGATTGAAATAAAAATCGCAATAAGTATTTATATAACTCTAACAAACAATTTAGAAACCGCTATGGGAATTTCACTGAAAGATATGGGCGAATTTCAACAACAGTATCGCGAAACAGTTCATGATACCAATAAACTGATCCTAGCTAGGTAAGTATGCAATGCAACTTAACAATATGTATAACTATTTGCAACAACACATTTAAAGATATTCAACATTTTAAGAGGATGTTTGAATGTAAATATAATATAAAGTTTGATTAATGTTTTATAAAAATGTTATCGTGTAACTTATAGAATCATTTAAACACACAGACTTTAAATGTAATGCTATTGTTTCCTTAAGTAATATAATTATGCACATAGATTAACAAGCCCGTGGTTTTATGCTGATGTGATATTTGCACTTTCGCCAATGGGTAGAAGGCAAGCGAAGAATTTAAAAATATTGCATGGATTCACCGAGAAAGTGAGTGAGAATCACGCGTTATTTAAATTATATAATTAATACAAAATTGTAATATATTTAAATTATATAGAATTTTTGTGTAAGTAAAGTTATAATAGCATTTTAATAAAATTAAAACAGTCTAATTTGTATGTCAGCAGCACATTTGGTAGCACGACAGTTTAAATGATGAACGAATTTATATTCTTTTTCTTTAGATTATTGCGGAAAGAAAACAATATCACAGAAACACTAATGGGCAATATTTGAAGCAATTTGAAAATGATTCAGTAAACGATGATGAAGAAATAATAGGAAGTATGAATTTACACACACACATGTATATAAAATTATAAATATGTGCACTTGCATGCGTGCATATGTGCGCTGCGTGTATACAGAATGTGGAAATTTTATTTATTATTATATTCATATTATATACTTATAATATATTGGATTGATCCGAAAACTCTCCTTTAGATGTTGTATATTTATTTTTGTTAAAAATTCGAAGAAACTTTCTGATCAATTCAATAAATCAATATAACATAAATTAAATATAAATTAAAATGTAATCTTTCTCAGTAAAAAGAAAGCGATTAGCTATGTTGGATCTTTTGATAGCGGCGTTCTATAATAATAAGATAAGTGATTTGGACATCAGAGAAGAAGTTGATACCTTCATGTTTGAGGTAAATATCGGAAATCATTTACATATACAGTCCACTCTGGCATTAGAACCAGTACGGGTTTATAGTAAATAATTTATCAAAATTGTGTGTCCTTACTACTGAAGTATAAGTGACAGAGGAGAATTGAGACTACACTCTTGCATTGGAGCATTTAAATACTTATTCACACATCGATTTGGTCATATCGTGACGCATGAAATACACTTTCCACATTCTCATCGTATGCATATACATTTATAAATAAGACATAGTAAAACCTGATGTAGTGATTGATTATTTATATGGGCGACCCCAATGCCAGATTGGACTGCATTAAAAAATATCATAACATATATATTTTGACAATAAAAATTCATTATCAAGTTACTTCAAATAAAATCAAATTAATTCATAAAATGCTCATTTATATTTAATAAAGCTATTCAATGAAATAATTTGTGCAATAAATGATTTCTTTCATATGGACGCAATATGAAAAAATTATATGAAAAGAAGCACTTTATACGACTAACAGTATAAAAAATATTTTAATTTACTTTTTATTTGTTAAGTCTTCTTATATAATATAGGTTGTACATAACGCACAGAAATGAATAAAATGACCTCTTCGCATTACAGGGTCACGACACAGTAGCAGTAGCTATATCCTTCACGATATTACTATTGGCTGAGCATAAGAATATTCAGGTATATTATATATAAATTATTTATTTTTAAACACACACAGTAAATACTTCATTAAATGTATTAATTAAATGTTTAAATAGTTAAATTTTATATTGTGTTTTCTGATAATATCAGAGTTAAGATAACAGTGATTATAATAGTTAAGATTATTAGTGTAGTAAATAAACATATGCATAAGTATTCCGCTTTAATTTATAATAGAAAAAAATTGTTATATATTTATATACATTAAATTAAATATAAAAGAATATATGTTTTATAATATGTGTGTGTGTGTCGTATATAATTTAATTGAATATGACACAAATGGAATATGAAATATGTAAAAATTTTTTTAATAATGTAGGAACGTGTTAGAAGTGAAGTTAGTGCAGTGATGCTAGAGAACAATGAAAAACTTACTATGACAGCATTAAACAATATGCCATATTTGGAAAGATGTTTAAAAGAATCGATGAGACTCTACCCTAGCGTTCCTAACATATTTCGAGTTGCGTTCGAAGATTTAAAGATACGTGAGTAATTAATAAAAAAATATTTCTTATATACAGGATGACCTATATAACTTTTTACATCTGGGTATTTCGAAAACTGTGCGATCGATATTGAAGGTCTTGATTTATATGAATCTGAACCACCTTCAAACTGGAATGAAAATTAGTCTCTCAATCCCGATTGCGTAGATGGAGCGGAGATTAATTTAAAAATTTTAAATAAGAACCTCTATACAAAATTACATTTTGCGATTCTATGAAAGACAACAACTCAGTTTTATCGGAAACGTTTTTTCGTCATATATTTCTTTGAAAAAATATGACAGTTTGAATTTCGATTTATAGTTACTTGAAGCACTCGGAAATAGTCATATCAAATCAACATTCTACTCTGACTTATTCAATTTATTAAATGTTTAAAATGTTCACCATAGTCTTGTAAATATTTATTTATCCGAGTTAATACAGTATTTCTAATATTTAATAGCATTTCGGGAGTCACTAAGGCATCAGCGCATGCGTCGCTTATCCTCTTGAAATACTATTAAATCTCAGAAATACTTATTAATTCGAATAGCTACACAATTCAAATAGCTATAGGTCGGAACGTTAAATCGTCATATTTTTTTCAAAAAATAAATTTTCAAAAAATATCTCACAAAAAATTTTTCGGATAAATGATTATTTTCTTTCAGAATCTAAAAATGTAATTTTGTATAAAGATTAAAAAATTTCCCATTAAAAAATTTAATGTTAACCCCCACTCCACTCTTGCAACCGGGAGACTAACTTCCATTCTAGTTTAAACACTTTCAGACCAACACAATTCAAGATTAAAATTTTTAAGATTAATTGCATAGTTTCCACGATCGAGCTGTAAAAAGTTATGTGCGCCATATAACTATAAAAAAAAAAAAAATATTCTTATACTGACAAACCGTTTGTAACTTAATATTAATTTATAATTTAATATTATTTTGTTTCTAACGAAAATATTGTTTCTAAAAATTAGTAATTTATTGCATTCTAAAAAAATTTCTATTTAAGAAAATAATTTATACAAAAATGTTCACTTTACAATCTAAACATTTTTTTTTAATTATTCTAATAAACTGTATTTTGTTTCGTGATTTTTTCAGAATCATATATTGTGCCTTCTGGAGCAATATTATATATTCCCGTTAAATCCATTCATAGAAATCCTGATTTTTGGCCAAATCCAGACGTTTTTGATCCAGACCGATTTTTACCAGAAAATTCTCAAAATCGTCATCCTTTTTCTTATTTACCTTTTAGCGCAGGACCAAGAAATTGTATAGGTAATATTTAAAGTATTAATTTCTTAATATGTAAATCATTTCTAATATTTTTATGGGGATATTTATAGGTCAGCGATTCGCCATGTTCGAATTAAAGGCTATAATAGCTACTTTGGTGCATAACTTTTATTTGGAACCCGTTGATTATTTAAAAGATCTTCGATTCCGGCTGGATTTACTAACTCGAGTTTCAGATCCAATTCGTGTGAAATTTATTTCAATCGAACAAATGCAGGCATTTAAAGTTAATTAACATGTTAAAAGAGTAAACAAATAATTTGTTGCACTAATAGAATTATTAACATAGTTTTCATATGTATTATAAACATTTATGGTTATGATAATATGAATATTTAAATAATAATAGGATAATATGAATATTTTATATTTTATTCAGTACAATATATTACTTGCTCCTTCACAATTAGTGCTTGAAAACACTTCTTTATTTGATAAGATATATTTATTATAACGTACTTATTATAAATTCAAATCAATAATAAATGTATGGTTAATCCACGCTGAATGATATCTGTGTCTGTTAGAACCCAAATATAAAAAATTAGCGTCCTTCAACACTTGACGACGCGCGTTAGAGCAATAATGAGTAGAGCACTAAAGATGTAGGTATTCTCACGTCTGCGCCATTTTCGCTCCATTCCCCCACTTCTTGCCCTCTCGCCTAATCACCATAAACTTCTTAGCTTAGCGAGAGCGAGCTAAGAACCTAAAAGAGCGAGAGGGCAAGGAGTGGTGAAATGGAGCGAAAATGGCGCAGACACGAGAATACTCACGTTTATAGTGCCTTCTTATATTGAGAAGAGCGTAACTATAATGTAAAAACCACTTTTTTGTATATTGTAAAGAAATGAAATAAATGTTATATTTTGATAGGTTTTTATTTTTGCTATTTGCTTTTAAGGCCTCTTTCCAGCGTTGCTCCGATGATTCGCGTTAGACATGTCATCGAGCGATTGTCATCGAGACGATTGCGTTTGACAATTCGTACGTCTGACACTGTTTAACAGCTTGTAACCTTTATTATTATACAAAGAGCAGAAGTGTTTTGAAAAAAATAAGAATGTAAATTATTATAACGAAAAAAAATGGCACGTGCATTGCACGCGCTTGTGTGGCTTAATATAAATAAAATTTTCATCATAAGTAACTATCGATGATGAAAACGTTTTACATAAATAGATCTAAAGTGCACGTGTTATCTAAACGCATAAGAGGTTTTTTTCGTACTAATTGTAAATCGTTGTTCATGCAGTCATTGCAAAAATATGATAACAGTGAATGTGCTATATAAAACTGCTGTGATGATATGATGCAGTTCGAAGTCATTTGATTGAGCGTCAAGAAATTTTCATCTGGCGTTCAAAGATTTACAAGATTTTGTTTTATAAATAAAGCATAATATTTTAAGTGGAAATTTCTACAAACGTGTTTAGAATATATTTTGTGATCCTTTTTGAACGATGCCTGGGTTTATTCAGATTCAGAAAAAGACACTTGATTGCATTTGACGACAAGCGTCTTGTTTAGAGCGATAAATAGGTGAGTGTATCTTCAAATGTATCTTTTATGTATTTCGGAAGTGTATCTTCTAACAGAATTTATTGTGACTTTGGAAAGAAATATTGAAATGTTTGAAAGGTATATTTTATCTGATTAAAATAAATATCATTTTTTGACAGTATTTCTATCGTTTATTTATGAACCAAAATTAATCTTAGAAATAAAAAAATTAATCAATATTTTTTTTAATAACTTGAAATATTTTGTTTAATATCATAAATTACACGGTAATATTATTTTATGTAGAGTTGTTTATGAATAAATAAATATAACTAGTTTTTAAATAACTCTTTATGCAGTTTTCATAAAGCTTTTTACATTGATAATTTATTAAAATAATAACTCACGGCATAATATGGATATTACAGGTACTTATTTCTTGTGCGTACTGATATTCAAGAATCAATAAAAGAAATAAAAGAAAATTTAAGAAGAGTTTATTCACTTAACAGATAACTATGATCATCACTTTATTGATATTATGCTTTGTTCTTTTATTACTGCACGATTATTTTCAACGTTATGGAAAATTCGGACAATATATCAATCGAATACCTGGAAACACATCACTTCCAATAATCGGCAATGGTTTGG